GATGGGGGTAGGGGAGGGAGGCTCAAGGTGGGAAGGGGATATAATTATAGCAGAAACCAACATAACATTGTTAAGTAATTTTCCTCCAATTAAAAAATAAATTAAAAAGATAGTACCTGACACTAAAATCTGTGCAGTCCTGATGTTGACAAAAATTAAATTTTTAAATGATGGAAGAAAGACATCAGAGGTTGGAGAATTTTCCTTTGGCAATAGCACTAAGTGAGCAAGACTCTTCCCTTTACATCTTCCCATGACTCTAAAAGTTTCCTTGGAAGTCTCAAGTCAAGTGCAAAAGAGTTTTGTGTGCAATATATATAATTATTTGAATCTTTCCTTAAACATCACCTGTATGACAACTTCTAAAATGAGTTCAGCTGAGCTTTTTCCTGTCACTAACATATGTGGGATTATCTGTTCCTTGCTAATGGCAGGAAAATGATCTCGGCACGTTATTCTTAATGTCCTCGAGAAAGGAAATGTGATCAGTGATGTCCTGAATTTGAAACCAAAATGATGTTTCTAAGGAGAACCATGGAAATCATACAAAAATTAGTTTTATTTGAAATATTTTGAAGCCAGGTTTTTGGACACCTGATTTTTAAAAGTATTTTAATGCTTCTTGGAAGACACTTTAAAGGGGATTTAGTCATGGCAAATAGACGGGGAAACAATGGAAACAGTGAGAGACTTTATATTTTGGGGCTCCAAAATCACTGCAGATAGTGACTGCAGCCATGAATTTAAAAGACACTTGCTCCTTGGAAGAAAAGGTATGACCAACCTAGACAGTGTAAAGTAATTAGCCTCCAACTAATAAAAATAAATGGGAAAAAAAAATAGACAGTGTAATAAAAAGCAGAAACATTACTTTGCCAACAAAGGTCCGTTTAGTTAAAACTATGGCTTTTCCAGTAGTCATGTATGGATGTGAGAGTTGGACTATAAAGAAAGCTGAGAGCCAAAAAATTGATGCTTTTGAACTGTGATGTTGGAGAAGACTCTTGAGAGTCCCTTGGACAGCCAGCCAGAGATCCAACCAATCCATCCTAAAGGAAATCAGTCCTGAATATTCATTCATTGTAAGGGCTGATGCTGAAGCTGAAGCTCCAGTATTTTGGCCACTTGATGCAAAGAGCTGACTCACTTGAAAAGACCCTGATGCTGGGAAAGACTGAAGGTGGGAGGAGAAGGGAATGACAGAAGATGAGATACTTGGATGGCATCACACACCCTGATGCTGGAAAAGACTGAAGGTGGGAGGAGAAGGGAATGACAGAAGATGAGATACTTGGATGGCATCACCGACTCAATGGATGAGTTTGAGTAAACTCCGGGAGTTGGCGATGGACAGGGAGGCCTGGCATGCTGCAGTCCATGGGGTTGCAAAGAGTCAGACACAACTGAACTGAAAACTATTACAATGGGAACCAATTTCCTATTTTGATGCTTTGAAGGATTTGAGGCCTGAGTTTGAGGAGGGAAGGGTAAAGATTCAAACATTTATTTGAGCATCTACTATATGTTTGGCACTAAACTGGATACTTTACATATTTTACCTCATTTAATTCTATTGTAGATACACTGCACATTAAGTGTGATTCTCCCTGTTTATAGATACGGAAACTGATGTTCAGTCCAGTTAAAGTCAATTACCTAGGATCACGCAGCTCAGCAGAATCAGGTTTTATAAACTCAAATAATTGTATTTAAAGTCTGTGTTCCTTGACCTCTGAATTGCAATTTAACTCTAAACACAAACTAAAAATGGGTCACTCTTTAGTATTAAAAAAAAAAAGCCTAACTGACATCTGCTGTATTACTCTTCAAAGACTTTCACTCATGTGAAAGACTAACGTGTAAACACCAAAGGTGAGACAACTTATTTTCTGCCCTGCTTTGCCCATGGGATCTGCATAATCAGGTTACCCCATCCTCACTTTGACCAGAAATGGAGCCAATTCTATATAATCCACATAGGTGAAAATTACCAGCTCTAAGCTTCCCAGGGCTATTCTGTTTTCAGTGGCACTTCAACTTTATCCACATAAAATACTGAAAAACCAGAAAAAAAAATAGTATACAATCTTTCTAAATTCCATATGTATGTGTTAGTATACTGTAATGGTCTTTATCTTTCTGGCTTACTTCACTCTGTATAATGAAAAGCCTCCAGCCTTTACCAGAGCTAAATCCAAATCTCAGATTGAAGGATGAATAATAAAATAGAAAGTAATATATTAGTTACCTAACTCTGCCCATTTTCTAAACAGACAATATCTGCTTTGGTCAAATATATCATTATTTGCACTAAGCTAATAAAAGTATATCATAGCATTACCATTGCCTTTGGATAAGATGCTTAATCCTGTGATATTGTTCCCATTTCTGATAATTGTCCCTCACTTCATTCCATCTTAGCTTAAGTTTTACACTTTGTATGGCAAAAGATCATAATCCATAAAGCAATTATCCTTCAATTAAAATAAATAAATTAATTAAAAACAAAAACAAGTTTTATACTTTGCTGAAATATCTTTTAATAATCTTTCTGCAAATCCTTCTTTGTGGTATTTTTCATGTTGTAGACTTTATGAAGCACATCAAACATATTTTCATTTAGTCTTTACATCAATTCTGTGAGGTAGACATTACTAACAGAATTTTATGGATGAGGATATTTCTGAGAGATTTAATATTTATTAAGAACCCACAGCTTGAAAAGGACATAGCTGGGACTTGAATTCAGATCTTCCTACCCTGAAGCTAGTCCACTTTCTGTTATAACATCAAAGCCTCTCCAGTGGCAGACTCTTAATCCATTGGCCTACTCATGTTTACATTATTGACCAAAGACTCTCCACACTGCTGACTCAACTTCCAGAAGGAATTCTCAGCAAGCTCTGGAGTCAGGCTAACTATGTATGAATCCTGGCTCTACCACATGCTAGCTATGCAAAGCCTTTGCAAGTAACAACTTCTGTGAACCTCAGTTTTCTTCTCAACAATAAAGGCAATAATGATATCTTCTTCATTCTGATCACTGTGAAAAGAAAACTAATCAATATTTCAATCTATCTTGCACAAAGCTTCTAGAATTAATCTAATCATACCTATCAATATTTTCCTACTTAATAAACTTCAATCATTCTCCATTGCCTGCCAAATAAAGTTCAAAATTTTAAACTTAACCTTCAGAAATTCTCTGGTTGTCCAGTGATTATGATTCCATGTTTTCACAGCTGAAGGCCCAGTTTCAATCCTTGGTCAAGAAACTAAGATTGTGCCATGGCAATGGCCTCATGATCTGGACTTAATATATCATTTTAATCTTACACTCTAGTGCTCTTCATCCCATGTCTCCTTTGTCATACAAACCAAACCACTATTCCTGAAACCCAAAATATATGACTTTTTTCATGTTACTATCTGTTATTAGGATGTCCATGCCATACACCACCATACCACATATGGAAATTCTATTCACTCTTCAATACACAGGTCAATCTCTTCCTCCTCAACAAAGCTTTCCTACATCTTCCAGCTGAAATTAATTTCTTCTATTCCCAAAGCTCATTGCATTTTCCTTTTATAACAGACATACTTTGCTTTGTATACTTTATGTGTTTGCCACTTTCCCCTATTAGACAATAAGCACCTAAGAGAAATGTGGCAATGTCTTACTGATGTTTATATCTTTCATAGTACCTGCTGTGAAGATTTAATGCTTACAAATAATAATTATTACTATAAACTAGTAATTACCATTTGTTAAGTACTTACTGTCAGCACTCAACAATGGTTAAGTGCCTAACATATAAGACATGATTTATTCTTACAATAATCCTGTAAGAAATGGATGATGAATCTTATGATGAGGAAACAGAAGCAAAGCAAAGTAACATATTGAACTGATGAACTTTGACCTACAAAAATGAACATTTCAAATAATTAACCTAAAAAAATGTCTTTCTAATTGTCATTACTGACCCATTTAAGAAATTCAACATCATCTGGACCATGTTAGAGTAATTCTAAATCCAGTATTTCCATACATGATATGATATTCAGGAAAAAGATAATTTTAGGCTTTATCAGTTGGAAAAAAAAATGTTTTAAATTCTTCCTGGTTCTTTTTTTTGTTTTTACCAATATTACCAAAGTGCATATCTCAAAGTTTCAGTCTTTAGAAATAACCTCATGCATATTTAATATAAAACAATCATATTCTTATATGGGCAGGGTCCTTTATTTTTTCTTATTCTTTTTATTTTGTCTTTCAGTTGCCTATGAGTTGCCTATGAGAGAGGTCAGTTGAACAAGCTATTTTTTACTGTGAAAAAATATGAAAAAATACAAATGATGATTTATTCCCCATAGTTCCAGTTATTATTGCTAGTTTTCCCAAGGTTCAAGACCATCTTTTTTTCCTTTAACACCTGTATAACAGATGTTTACAAGGTTCCAAAGTATTCAGAACATAAATTAGTCACTGATGGTTGCATCCCAACAGATTTCTTCTTAGCAACTAAGTTTCAGTTTCTGTCTTGTTGATGAAACACACAATAAAATGTATGTCTATTATAACCTGAGTTCATATACCAAATTTGCAAACAAAACATAAGTTACTAACTTGTGAAATGTGACCATTACAATCATCTTAGAAATATCAATTCTAATTCATTGTTCACTTAAATATCATATCTCAATGAAATATTTCATGTTGTATAACTGTTGGGCCCATTCAGCTAGAAATTAGGTATTCATTTATCAGTTCCTAACTTCCCTCATAGATTTAATGTATTAATATACCTGAATTATTTTGTGTTCTGAGAAGAGACGGAAAATTTTATTTTAAAAATGCCATAATAAAACACAAATCCCCATGGTATAACCCCTCAATATTTTGATGAAAATTTAATGTGGGTATCTATACAGAAGTGTGAGAAGGGTTTAAGAGATTATTTCAGTTTTTCAAAGAATCAGTCCATTAATCTTACCTGCTCATGTGTATGGTTTGAGCCACCATGGCACAGTTCAATTCCAGTGTTTGTAGAAACTGAATCACTTCCTGTGATGGTTTGGATTTTCTGACTAGAATGGGATTGTTCACAGTGTGGAGAGTGGATGATCTGGGGCTGTTGAACAATGTGATGATGGCACTGAACCTGAGGATAGCATTCCTAAAATACATAAACAAGACAAAAATACTTAGAATAAAAATTATTAATAAAAGAAAATCCGTTAAAAAAATTGAGTGTGTTCTTTCACAAGATCATTTAAGCCCTAAGATTTATAGTTTTAATAAGTGATATATTAGTTTTCCAATTGTTCCATTGGAAAAAAGTTGTACTGAACTCTATTTTCATTTGATCAGGTGGCTGTGACGATCCAAATACTTACCTAAGTTGGTCAGGGAATTGCATGTTCTGATTAAGTTAATATTCCAGTTACACTTAACACTAAAACTATAATGAATATCAATTTCAATTGATATTTCTTTGATGATTCAATAGGCACTTCAGGATCTAATTGCATAATAATACTATAATACTGAAGATATTGATGGATATAAATTAGAAAATAATATATTGTAGTGACTTTCAATGTCAGAAGCATAATAGAATCACAGTGGGGGCAAATGAAGTACTTATGCTTATGAAAATCAAGCATAAATTAAGAAAAAAGATTGGAAAACAGTAACTGAACCTTCAGATCCAGAAAACAGAGATTCTAACTCTGATTCTACCATTAACTCTGTGATCTTGAGAAACCATATACGCAATTTTATAAGCCTCAGTTCCCTTGTGTGTAAAAGGGGAGATAGTATGTACCTCATTGGGTTGCTGTGAGGAGTAAATTAACTAATGTTTGCAAAGTGCCGAGTATAAAGTACGTGGGAATTAACATTTACTATTATCATTCTCAAATTTTATCATTATCATCATCATCATCAACTTAATCATCAACCACCCCATTAATTTTGCAGGCAAAAAAAAAATAACCGTGAGGTCCAGAGAGGTAGGATAACTTACTTATGATGATATAATTAATGGCAAAATTGGGTCTGGAACTTATGACTTCATGCTCAGAGTTCATTTAGACCATTAGACTGAATTTGCACTGTCTTCAAAGTATTTTGGAACTTGTTTTTAAATTAAATCTTTGTTATCTGTTTGCTTATTTACTGTGATTTTGTTTCTGATAAGTGTTGAGTACAGAATAAGAAAAGATATCTGGTTATTTCAGTTTTGGAGATTTCAGATATGTTTGAATTTTCTATATTATTTTGTTCTATTCTATTTTGGAAACAGATACTTGGAATCCAGTTTTCAAAAAACTTTCACCCAAAGAAAAAATACTCTGCTTGAATCATAATGCTACATTCATGCACATACAATTAACTTTGAAAGTATAAATTCAATGCTCTATTTCCTTTTGACTGTGGAAAGGTGACCTATGTTAATGAAGTAAGGCACTTCAAATTTTAAAAATTTTTATATGAAACAATTTTCAAACTGTATTAATTGAAGAAGCAAGATGCATAAGAATGAATACAGTATACTACTTGTGTATAATATTTTTAATGTACATACATGTATATTTAAAAACATGTACAACTGCTTTTAAATACATGCATGGAACAAAAACACTTTAAGAATGACTACTTCTGGGAAGAGGAACTGAGGGAAAAGAGGATCAGGACAGAGAAGATTTTTTGCACCCTATATATTTTCTCTTTTTGCACTCTTTTTCACTCTTTTATATTTTTATGCTTTGAAATTTTTATCATGTATACAAATATCTTTTCATGTATATAAAAATATTTTGGAAAAAAATATGTATTAAGAAACACATTTTACAAGTAGGAACTGCCTTGTTAAACATATAAATAAAGGTCACAGAATCAGTTCATAGAATCATTTTCTCCAAGCTGTTTTCAAATAGAATCTTCTTTACAAATATACTAGCACTAAGTAATATCTCTACAGTTTAGAAGTCTGACTGTATTATCTAGTTTTTGTACAAATTTTTGGTATTAAAATTTTGTTCTTTTATGTTGCAAAATACCTTCATACACTAGATTAGGAAAAGTCAGGGTGATAGTTGGAGAAAACTTTCACCCAGTGAGGAGCTAGTACATACTGAAATAAAATTCCTCCTGGGGAAAAAAAAATGTGTCCTTTAAAAAACAGATGAGGAAAAACTTTGAAACGAAAATAAAGAAAACAAAACCTATTTCTCAACCATCTTTCCTTATTAATGTATCAGTTGAATCTTGAATGGAATGCTTACAGTCTCTCCATCTGAGATGTCTTGTGGTTTTCCTGAACTTATTTGGCCTGTGAACTACTAACTGGTACCACTGAAGTCTTAGCAGGTTTTCAGTTTTCAGTCCTCATACCTGACTGCTAAAATTATTTTTCCAAAGCAAGATATTCATATTTCTCATACTTTTGCAACATACCACAAGCTGAGTTTTTAATGTATAAAAGTTCAAACATTTACGATTTACCATATATCTTATAATATATTTCTCATCTTTGCATAAGAAAAACATACACAGAGTACAATTTATAGACTTCCCTCGTGGCTCTGATGGTAAAGAATCTGCCTGCAATGCAGGAGACCCAGGTTTGATCCATGTAAATTGGATAATTATCTTGCCACTGGCATTACTTTACCATCCTTCTACTATAAAGACCTCTTTTTTGGACAGGTTCCATCTCCTAAAAGCTAGTCATATTTGAAGTAGTCTCATGATGACATTTTTTTTTAATTAGTCTCATGATGACATTGGCTTCCCTGAGAGCTCAGTTGGTAAAGAATCGCCTGCAATGCAGAAGACTCAGGAAGATCTGCTGGAGAAGGGATAGGCTACCCACTCCAGTATTTTTGGGCTTCCCTTGTGGCTCAGCTGGTAAAGAGTTTGCCTGCAATGTGGGAGACCTGTGTTAGATCCCTGGGTTGGGAAGATCCCCTGGAGAAGGGAAAGGCTACCCACTCCAGTATTCTGGCCTGGAGAATTCCATGGACTGTATAGTTCATGGGGTGGCAAAGAGTCGAACATGACTGAGTGACTTTCACTTCACTTCATGATGGCATTAAGCAGGTTCATCCAGACTCTAGTTTTATCCAACTCATCCCATTATGTTTCTGTCACTGAGGAAACTAAGCTAGGTCAGAGCAGTTGTATTTTCATATGCATGGTTCATTTTACCTTAGGCGGTCTCCTATGGCAGTTCCAAAACTCCCAAATCATTTAAATCATTAATAAGAATAGTGGACATATAAAAGTAAATAGTCAAGTTAATAGTAATTTAACTATTGCTATTATAGTAACTAGCAGCAATGTTCATTGAAAACATCTTTAATTGTTCCAGATATGTAGCAATAATAATGTACAGGATATTCAATATTTTTTCTAGGGCCAAGATTTAGAAAAGCTGTTTATTCTCTTTGAAACAAGAAGTTGGAAGCAGTGTGCAATGATGTATCTCAAAAATTCCTTACTATTTAGAATTGTCAGGCTTACTGTTTGGGGAGTTCAGTTAGATAAAGGACAGATGTTATAACCTAGTAGCTTAAAAGAAAGTGTCTTTTGAAAAACTGACATTTCATGAAATTTTTCTATTTTGTATCATAATGTACAGAAACTGGAAAATATGTGTTTAATATGTACTATACTAAATCCTTCAGAGTATATCCAATTTTCGACGCAGACCAGGATCTTAAAGATTTGGATGTTTATGATTCTGAGAGCTTACTCTATTTCATTATTACTAGGTATCAAATGAGTAAATAATATATTAGTTCCAATGAACTGGGTAATAGCTGCCCATAAATACTAATAAAAACAAGATATGTTCTCATGCCAAGAAAAATGAAAAAGGAGAATTTAGTATGTTTTAATGTTTCATTTGTATATGAGAAAAAATGATTCTGTGATCAAAATTCGTTTGATAATATTTACTACCTGTTATGGGTTGAATTGTGCCTCCCCTAAAAAAATCGTTTAAGTCCTAACTTAATCGTTTATGTACTCCCAGTACTTCAGAATGTGAACTTACTTGGAAACAGGGTCTTTACAGAGGTAATCAAGTTAAAATGAGGTTATTAGAATAAGTCCTAACCAAGCATGACTGGTGTCCTCATGAAAAGGGTAAATTTGAACACAGAGACAAACATGCACAGAGGGAAGACCACATGAAGACACACAGGGAAGATGCTATGTGAAAATGGTGAATTAAAATTATGCATTTACAAGCCTGAGGCCACCAGAAACTAGGAGATAGGAAGGGAAGAATTCCTTCCATAGAGGTTTTAGAGGAGGCATGGCCCTTCCAATATGGTTATTTCATAGTTCTGGCCTCTAGAACTGTGAGACAATAAATTTCTGTTGTTTCAAGTCACTCAGATTGTAGTACTTTGCTACCAAAGGCCTAAGAAGCTATTGCACTAACCTAGTTCAAGAGATAAATCCCAGGCTTTGTCTGGCTTGACCATGCTTGTACCCATTGAGCAGGTCAATGTGAAACATATACTGGTTTCAGTAACAACTCCGTTTGAAGGATGGAAGGACACAAGGAGGGCGGAGTTCTAAATGCCACAGAGTTACCATCACCCTGCTGTAGTTTTGTACTCTGTACTTGGTCTCAGTTAAGCTTAATGGGATTTCAAAAACCTGACTTCAAGTTTTCATTTTCTAGATCTTTTACAGTATATAGTATTTTGCCCATCTGTTCATAGTGTTAATTTAGAAATTCATTTAATAGTAATTAAGAAGAAATTACAATGTTTTAAATTATTATTTTTGTGAGCCTAGCTTAAAAGAAATGTATAAAACACTGAGATATCTATATTAAGTTCAAATTCTATCATTAATTTTCTCCATGACCGAGCATGTCTTCATTTCAGTTTCTCTTTCAGTAAAATGGGTACAACAATACTTCAAATGAAGAAATGAAAATAAAATTGTTAAGGATGATAGGAAGGGCTGTAAATATAAAGAAGTATTATTATGACTCACAGTGGTCTCACCTGGCACTTGAAAACTGAATGTCATTTAACTCTATTAAAATATTTAATTCAAAAGTATACACTTATAAAATAAACCTTAAAACAAATTTCACATACCTGATCCGTATTTAGCTTCTCTACTTTTCTTATGGTTTTTTCATAAATAACATTATTTCCTGGAAAGAAATGGCCTCCTCTTAGGAATGGCGACAGAGGTTCCTACAAAGACAGTAAAAGTTGCATTTTGCTTTGCAAGTTAGCTTTATGGAGGAAACTGAACTTAAGCAAATATGCATTCTCCAATAAACACCGAGGTAGTGGCAGATGTTAGGAGAAAAGGAAATGACATCCCAATAAGGTTCTGAGAAATATAAGGAAGCAAAAATAAAAATAATATATTTTCTCAAACAGAATAATCTGTATCTCCCACTACATTTTACTAGGACTAACAGTGTTTAGGGGAAATTGGAAAGGGGTGGGAAAGACTTTTTTTTTGTTCCTAAGGCAAAATATAATGTTTCCTATAGAGGTAGACAGGCATGAGGTCAACCACATCTAAACTGGGTTTACTGGAAAGTTTCTTTCGATGTGAAACTATCATTGGAGAAATGCAAAATACACATAATTTGGCACCACTGAGCCTATATTAAAGATTCTTTTTGGAATTCAACCTGGGTCCCTTTGAAATGAAGTGTAGTGTACAATTCTTTCTTATGATTACAATATGTCAGGCAATGAAATAAAGGCTGGTGACATGTCCAAAATCTGAAAGAAACCAGGGAAGGGCTAATAAGAATCAGACCAGGAGTCCAAAATAATTGTAATGTGTACTGTACTCCTCTCTTTTCTTTTGGGTTTTCATGACTTTTCACTTATATGGGGGGGGAGTTATTTTGTTACAAACCAAAAATTGCATTCATTTTTTTTTTTTGTAATACAGAGGAACAGTATAGAAGGGGATTGGCTAAACCTATTACCAGTTAGTGTGTTTAGGACCATTTCCAAATCAACAAAATATGATCGCATTTTTGTAGTCAGCTATTTAAAACATTTTTAGAACAATTGAACTAAAATACTAGTTGTTTTGGTTGTTGAGAAGGCAAGGTACTCTTGAACCCAAAATATATATTTCTTGTATTCAAGTTTGAATAAAGAGTGCGCTAACTAAATGTTTCTGAGATACTTTGGTAAAACAAACATATAAGTGATTCATTTTGGCTAATTAATGAATTATTAAATCTAAAAATGGATATATTTTTTTAAATTCCCCTAGGAACTATTTTGTGTTTGTTTTTGTAAAAAAAAAAAAATACCTCTTTGGTGATACACATAACACATGTTTACATTCATGTAACACATGTTTCAGAGCTTACTATGCACAATATACTTTGCTAAGTATTCTAAGGAATGACTCAAAGTTATATTATTACTAGGAGCAATGAATATTGATCAGGGTTCAAACTATAGCCAGCAGCCTATATTTGTAATGGGCTTCCCTGGTGGCTCAGATGGTAAAGAATCTGCCTGCAATGCAGGAGACCCAGATTTGATGTCTGGGTCGGGGATATCCCCTGGAGAAGAAAATGACAACCCACTCCAGCATTCTTGCCTAGAGATTCCCATGGAGCCTGGCAGGCGCAAAGAGTCAGACACAACAGAAGCAACTTAGAATGCATACATGCAAGATAAAAATGGTATTTCTATTTTAAACAACTATGAATAAAAAGAAAGAAGACCAAGACCCTATATGGGCAACAAAGCCTGGAATACATACTATATGGCCTTTTATAGGAAAAGTTTGCTAATCCCTGGTCTAGATAATATGTGAACACAAATATTTATAATACAAGATAAAAAGAGACAAGTGACAATAAAAAGCACAGAGAAATAATATGGGATGGAATTCAGGAGAAGAAAAATCAAGTTACATCTGGTAGTGTTCAGGGTGGCTACTTGGATCAGGTAGAATTTGAGAGAAGGTTTAGGTGAGCTTTGAATATAAGGAGATGAAAGAAAATGGTATTTGAAATGAAGACAATAAAGTAAGTCAAGACACCAAGGTTTGAAAAGTGTAAATTTGTATGTAGGGGATATACTTGGCAGATGGAGCACGGTTCTGCAAACAGTGAGATACCTTTGAATGCTTTTAAACAGGGCTGTGATTTGAACATAAGCCCACTTTAGAAAGACTAATTGGTAAATGGAAAGAATACAGGTAAGGAAATCAGTTAGAAAATTCTCCTACATAATTAAGTACATTAGTTTTCAACCATGACTCGAGATCTTGTACCTGAGGAATCTACTATATGGCCAACAGTCTCAAAAAAAAAAAAAAAAAAAAACAGTAAAAGTGGAGACACATGGAGTTTTATGTGCCCCAGGTAAGAATCTAGGTCTGATTCACGTTTGTATCCTCATACGTGCGTGCGTGCTAAGCCACTTCAGTCGTGTCCAATTCTCCAGGTAAGAATACTAGAGTGGGTTGCCATGCATGCCCTCTTCCAGGGGATCTTCCCAACTCAGGGATCAAACCTGTGTTTCCTGCATCGTAGGCAAATTCTTTACCTCTGAGCCACAGGGGAAGCCCAAACACACATTAACTTACTGCAAATAACTAGTAAAAAGACTTTTTTACAGCACACAGTTGAAAACACACGTCTGAAACTGGGTGGGGATTTCATGACTACTATTCTAGATTTCAGAATCATATGCGTAGAAGTGGTGGTTAAAACCATGCAGTTGCTGAGAAGGCAAAAGAATATCAAGGACAGAACTAGACAGATCTTCAGGAGTATGAGAATCATAAATGAAAAATGCCATATAGTCAAAACAAGAGAAATTTTCAAGAAGCAATAAGGTGAGTGAAAGTATAAATGCTTCAGGAAGGTCAACAGGTAAGAATTACAAAGTAGCTTGGATTTGAACTACTACAAATCTATTGGATTTGATTACTAAAATTAGTGAAAATATCCCTGGTAGCTCAGATGGTAAAGAATCTGCCTACAATGCAGGAGACCTGGGTTCAATCCCTGGGTTGGGAAGATCCCCTGGAGAAGGGAATGGCAATCCACACCAGTATTTTTGCCTGGAGAATTCCATGGACAAAGAAGCCTGGCAGGCTCTTTTCGCAAAGAGTTGGACGTGACTAAGTGACTAACACTTTCACACTTTCACTCTCAAAGTATAATAGAAAAAATTTTGGACTAATAAAACATGTATTCAGTTCTGCCTCTATTACCTACATGCTGTGGAAACTTAGGTAAGTCAGTTACCTTCTCTGAGGCTCAGTCCCTTTTTCATAGGGATAGTAATGCAGGATACTTTTTGCTAAATGAAATAATGTATGCTAAATTACCTTTAATCTGTCATTGTAAAGTACAAATAGCATTGGTTTTGATTAATACAGTAATATTTAAAATACTGAATTTTAAAATAATTTATGAGAATCATGATAGAACTTTTCTAGGATATCAAGTTTAAAAATAGACAAAAGTAAGCTTGTTGAGGGTAGGGACTTTATCCATCTTGAATAACCTATAGTGAATGAACAGATGATTAGATGAAATGGGATGATATGAACTTCTATCTTAAGGATATAAGCATCTACTAAAAGGGGGAAAATTTAGCAAAAGTATAAATTTTCTTCTCTGTGAACTAAAATTTACTCTGAAAGCTGAGCCATTATTATTTTTTAAGAAGACAAATGACTTGGGTGCTAGCAGTGTTGAGTCTCCCTAAACTGTGAGGGCACTTATTTTAAATGACCTACTGAAAGAAAAACTTCTAAATTTATGAAACTATATTTTCACCAAATCAATCAGAGTATGTGCATGCGTGCTCAGTCATTTCCGACTCTGTGATCCCATGGACTGTAGCCTGCCAGTCTCTTCTGACCATGGGATTTATCCCAGCAGTGATACTGGAGTGGTTGCCACTTCCTCCTCCAGGGAATCTTGCTGACCCAGGGATCTAATCTGCATCTCCTGTGGCTCCTGCATTGGCAAGCAGATAGATTCTTTACCACTGAGCCACCTGGGAAGTCCCAATCTATCAGAAAAACCAAATATTAATATGAATAAATCACTTTGCATAAGACAGGTCAGCAAAATTAATCAAAAGTCTTGGATTTCTAACAGATGAGTTTTACTATTTTGGCAGCTTATTTTTTTTCTACCTGTACACTTGAATTGGTGCCAAATCCACCTGAAAAATTAACGGGTGTTTTCAAAGATGGCTGATCTTATAATTTAATTGTTACTTTTGGAACCTCTGAGAATAGTTCTCACATCTAACAAAGTGCATAATCTCCAGCATCTACTTTACTGTTCCCAGGCCATGAAACCTTGCTGGAGAACATTTTAAAAAAAGATTTGCTGATGTGGCTCAGTACAAAGTTGTCCAATTTTAAAAGGCTCTCCAACATTCATGGTCATACTTGTATTCACTAAGTTCTCTGTAACTTTGGTTACAAATAATTTTCTTTTCCTTAGTGCCCCATGTTCCTGTTCCTTCATTCTCCTTATACTCTCTGAGAAAACCAAGACAATCTATCTGTTAGGGAAAGCACACTGACTGAAACTGCCCACCCTGGCCAGGCACCATAGTAACCATTTGCATGAGCTGTTTTAAGACAGGAGGTCCTGGTAAGGAACATGTAACTAATAAGCCACCACCAACTGGAAGAGTTTGGGAAAGGTCAATAGAAGACAACACATGTTCGACCAACTCCCAGAATCCTTCTCACTGGCATCCATCTTAGCTGCACCACCGGGAAGGACTCTGAGTTAGAATGATGGGCTAAAGCAACCAGGAAACTAATCCCATCACCATAAAACCCGAGACTGTGAGTCACATGGCAGAGCTGTTCTGGGTTCTCCTGCTCTCCACCTGGGTGCCCTTTCCCCATAAAACCTCTTGCTTTGTCAGCACATGTGTCTCCTCGGACAATTTATTTCCAAGTGTTACACAAGAGCCCAGTTTCAGGCCCTGGAAGGAGTCCCCCTTCTTGCAACATATCCAGTGAAATTCCTCCATTTTCTGCCCCACTTCAAAATCTAAGTTTCTGCTCCTTCCACTCATTATGTAATAATATATGCCTCTTTTATCTGGAAGTCACTTCTCTATCTGTACCTGGAATCCTATCCACTCTTGACTCTTCCAGAATTGTATCACCTTTCTTCCCTTTCTCTGTTGCATCTTTACTTTTCCTTCCTATTAGCTATTTCTTTCTGCCTATAAATCTCTTGGGTCTCCAAGATTCTATTTGCTCCTTTAGCTACCATCCTGTCTCTCTTCCTTTGGCCAATATCCTTTTTAGGAAAGTAACCTCACTTATTATCTTCATTTCCTGATTTAGTCATCCATTAATGTTTTGCCTCTGGACTTTGCTTCCATATATATACCAAAACTGCTCTCTCAAACATCACCATTACTTTCTTAATGGTCAAACTCTATTTTCAAACCTCACCCTTCTCGGTCCTTTGGTCATTTGAGATGGTTGACCACCCCTTTACTTTATTTGCTTCAATAATTCAGTGTTCACATTCCTCTGACAGCTTCTCTGCCTGTGAAAGTGGCTCCTTCCTTCTGTTCCTTTAGAGTAGACATTTTAGGTTCTGACCTCAACCCTTTCTATTACCCCTCAGCGATCTCACTCATTCCCATGGCTATGAAGGTAACTTTAAGAGGAATAACTCCTATGTCTCTATCACAAATGTGACCTTTCTCAAGTCCCTTTTTAACTGCCTGGTGGGCATCTTCCCTGGCATGCACCTCAAATGCTACTGGTCCAAACAGAGCTGGCAATCTCCTCCTTTTCCAAACCAGCTTCTCCTCTCCCCTACTTCTTACTTTTTAGTTGGGCTACGATGTTCCCAGTGTCTCAAACTGAAAAACTTGTCATATTTGACTTTCTTCTTTTAATCCCAAATCCAATATCAGTTATCAAAATTTGTCAAAACTACCCTGAGGATAACTATCAGAAAAGATAGAGATATTTAGTCAGAAGACCTAAGCAAGTCACATTTACTTAAGCTTTTGTTTCCATACTAGTAAAATGATACTAATAATAATGTTAATTGTAATAATTCCTTAAATGCCACAATAAATCCTTCTCTGATTTCCCCCAAATATTACCTCCAAACTCTGAACTTCAATAAGACATCATTTGTATTTCTCTCATGGAATCTATCATACACCCCACCATATATTTTATGAAGTTGTATATAGACATATCTTAATCCCTTTCTGAGAGGAAACGTAAGCTCCTTTGCTTCAGAAACCATGTTTTATTTCCTTGTATTTTCCAATTTGAGGTCTGTATAGACCTTTCCCACAGTAGGAGCTCTGCAAGTGGAAAATTAATTAAATTGATTAACATCAATTGGATTCTATCTACTGATGGAACAAACATATTTCCCCATTTCTGAGTCATGTTATATACCAGAATGGATAAATCACTTGACTAAAATGACAAGAAATGGAAAATAAGAAAGATCAGGTACAATCAAGAATAAAAAGGCTGAACAGAATTAAAAGGAAATCATGAGACAAGTGATTGATATCAGTTTAATTACAGGGAGAAGAAGTAAAGATTAGACAAACTGGAAGGTGAAAGAGAATGAAGTTGCCATTTAAGAGGTTCAGATCATTATAAATATTGTAATTAAGCCAGAATCTTCTCCTGAGGGAATTTAAAAGAACAAACAAAAAAGCATACACTTAGATAAATAAAATATATCTAGACAGGATTTTCAAGCTGCTCTGCAAAACCAGTTAGATTATTTTTGTTTACAAAGTGTGGGGATTAAAATTTTATTTTATCTCTCAATAATGGAAATAGTTAAAAGCTTAAAATGTTAAAGCTAAAATGATCATTTTTCTTTAACCTGCTGCTGGATCTTCTCCCTGAGAAACTATTTACTTCTTTACAGTTGAACACAACTATAATGAGAGGCAGGCTTCCTGTTACAAATATGCACTTTCATATATTCTTTGAATTTCTCTGCTTTTTTGATTACACTGTAGCTGGGGAGGATGGGGGAGGGAGATGGTACATGAGTGAGTCTCTGAATCTCAATTCACTTACGTCATCAATGGCCTTTAATTTGCAAATGTTTCTTTCCTACATCTGCATTGTTCAATTTCAGTTGCAACTCTGCTGTTTTCTAACCAATGGTTTGGGGCCAGTTAAGAACTTTAGTTCCAAGAAGGTCGAGACCTTGTTTTGTTTACTGCTCTATTCTCCAGGGCTTGGGACAAATTGTTGGTACATACTAGGCAATTGATAAAAATTCACTGAATAACTGTCAACCTCTCTGCTTCTGTTTTCTCACTTTTTAAGCCCAAATGGGATAAAATATGTAAATTGCAGAGCATGGAATGTATAGCCAATAAATATTAATTCATTAACTGAAGAATAAGAATTGATTCAGAGTCACATAAGAATTGCTGGCAAAGAGGGTTGGAATCCAAATGATTCAATATTTAAAACCACTCTGTGGCTATGTCTTAGGCAAACACAACAATTTTCATGAAAAAAAAAGTGCTATCTAGAACTAATTCTTTGAGAGCCAGGGACATCAAGTGTAATATGCATCCAGGTATGCATATTCCCTAGTTTGTTTGTGAAAGGAAAATAGAGTGAGAGGAAAAAGAGGAAAGCATAAAGTGATCAGCCAAGTTGTAGAAAAGGCACAGGCTAATCTCCCAGGCCCTCCTGATGTCTCCCTTTCCCCACACACAGTTTTCAGATTTATTGCTTAAACACTTGATTCTGCAGAACGAGAAAGCAGATGCTTTACTGTAATCACATTCTCTCTTGATGTTTACATAGATATTTGAAAACTCAAGCAAATATCCAAAACAGTCACCCCCTCCAAAGCCTGTATGCTGGTAGACTCACACAAGCACACGTGCACAACTAACAGCCTCTCTAGCTAAAGAGACGTGAGAAGATGATTTTTAAATGAATAAAGAAGAGAGAAGATAGAAACAAGCAGAAGAATAGTACATCCTCCCCACCCAACTAGACTAGTACCAACTATATTACCTTGATTTAGCCCCTTGCTTTCCACAGCTGAAGCAAATGATCAGTTTTATTTTGTGAAAGAATTATTCCAGCAGTAGTGGGGAAATAAAGAGAAAAGCAAAAAATTCCTACAGTATTATCTGGGGCACTCTGTTTCAAATGTGAACCTTATGTTCTTATAAACCTATAGTAGAGTTTCCTGTTGCAGCTAAAGTAAGGCTGTGTGTGTTGAGCAAGGCTTATTACTGTGGGGAAATTTTTTTTCTTAATTTTCTCCTCAAAATGAGACTGGAAATAATATCCTAGTTTGTATAATATAAGGTTATATATCTTTATAGAAAATATAATAGTGTAATTTTCAGAAGACCTCATTGCTAGGCACAAAAGTTCATACACCATAGAACTCAAACACATGGAGGTATTTTTGAACTTTTGAATTTTCATTCTCTTCTTCCTAGCAAATATCTCAATGGCAAATCTAATTAGACTAAATATTGCAACCCCCGATGCAACCGGTGATAGTTTTAAATGAAGACTGTGAACCACTTCGTCCCTTTTTACTTTGGTTCAAAGTGCACAAAAACCTTTAGTAGCACAAGAATGATGATATAGAAGCAGAAAACTTTATAACCCAAGAATTTCCATGCTACTTGGAACTGTTGCATCTCTGAGGCAAATGGTTGTCTGGAACTAATGATGAATTTCTTATAATAATAATTAGAAATTAACTTTATAACTGAAAGAAAGTTCAACAATCTGACTTTAGGAATCTAGTAACTAACTAACTAACTCACCCCTCTTGTTTAAGTTATCAACTTCTGAGGAATTATAGGTTGGGGTAAGAGTTTGCATGATATAGCTTACCTGTTCAGGATTTTGCACTATATATCGCCTTATAGTAGTTTGAGGATATGTAGTAACTTTGACTGTTGGAGAATGGAGTTCCTGTGAGGAAAAGATAAAAGCTGCATATAATCAGAGTTATTTAGTGACCTTGGAGTCATGAATAATAATAGAGAGCAATTTTCAGAGTGAAAATTTTAAAATCACTTACACAAATGATGACATATGAATTTATATTTTGGTTAATTTTGGTCTCAAAAACATACATGAAAGCAAATGTTTATGGGCTCAGCAACATGTTAGGTATTTATGCTATACTCATTGCATAGTAATTCATCACACATTTCAAACTATTAATAGTTTGATGAGAGTTTTAAAATATTCTTTTCATTGTAAATGTCCCCACATGATTAAATAAAATATAGTTTAATATTTATTAATTAGATCTTCTGTTTGGAAAGGGCATGAAAGGAGACACAAAGAAAAAACTGACTGTGTGTACTGTGAAACATGTAAATCTTCAATGTGGTGACAGGGGAGGGCCACAAATAAAGTTAAAAGGGAAACAAAACACTAGAACAAAGTCATTTGTAAGCTTTTGAAGGAAAAAGAGTTGGTATCAATATAAAGAAAGTTTTTATATCTTGGTGAGAAAAACATCTTCACACTATTAGAAAAATGAGCAGATGGTATGAAAACAGAAAAGGAAAAAAAAAAGCAAATGATTAACAAACAACAAAAACAAGCTATATTCCAAGCTATAACAAACAATATTCAAACAAACTAGGAATCAAATAATCATAACGAAAGAATACCATATTTTAACTGGAAATGTTAAAATATAATGCTGATGAGAGTGCAGTAGGAGGAACATTTTCCTAAGGAAACAGGAAAGATTAAATAATCATTCTCAAGATGAAATATGTAGCCATCAAAATAATGGTCTTGATAATACAAATAACATTTAAAAACTCATGGTATATAAAGTTAAGTGAGAATGAAGATATAAAACTACATATAAGGTATGATCTTAATTTTTTATTTGAACAGAAGGAAACACAGCAAAAATACTGAGAGTAGTATCTCTGAGTAGGGAAAGAATCATAAGTGAATTATATTTTTTCTTTATATGCTTTTGTATTTCCTAATTTTTCTACCATAAACATATTTTTGTTATCAGAAGTAAAACAAACAGCAAACCTAATTCTAAAGTCTTTCATTATGAAAAATAAAATAAATGCAATCTTATGACTGGGTTTGAGTGTAGTAAACAGCTGTGTGATTTAAGTGGACTTAGTTTTATGAGCTAATCCTATCTTGGTGGTCCTGTGGGGCTAAACTTCTAACTCAACTGTAACCTTTATTCCACTGCTGTATGTTTTGTTAGGTGTGTGACCCATGCTAGTCTGTGAGTTCTTTGAGAATAGTGATTGGTTCTAATTCATCTTTGTGCAGTATTTAGTACATATTTGGCACTCAACAAATGTTCACTGAATAAATGCATGACTCTTACTGACCTAGCTCTAAGCTAGACTAAATTGGGACATGATAAGCAAACTTTTCTTCAATAATCTTATTTGTTCTGCATAATATCACCTTTTCCATCCTGTATCCCAGACCTAGAGACCAGTTTTTGTACATTTGTCCCTTCACTATTCAAGTTCACATTGTGATACCTCAAGCTGGGTAGGTATGTTTTCTAGAACAGTATCTTTCTCCTTCCTATCCTCCAAATCCTGAAAGCTTTATACTCCCCTCCTATGCACTAACAAACTTAGGATCTTTTATGGTTTATTTACTTAGAATTTACTTTTTAATATACGGGACTCACTCATTAAACACATATTTATTAATACAGTATTTAATTATTATTACAGATACCTTTTGCAGATATAATATATACATTCAAAAATAATCTTTAAAAGTATGATTATTAAGTCATAAAGATTAAGGAAACTTGATCTTGTGTGTCTTTCAAATCATGCACCTTGGAGAAGGGCAAGTTCTGATCCTGTAAATTATTCTCTCTGGATGTCAAAGTACAGTAGTATCATTCACAAAGCCACACCCTCAATCAATCTAAGATCTAGGTACTTTATTTCTGTTCAAATCAAGGTTCCTTAAAATATACACAATCAGTGGGATATCGTTGGCTAAAAATAAACTTCACTCAAACCAAAAGCAATCAGATTGAGTAGACAATAAAATAGAAAAATCTCAATTCACAGGCTTTTTTAGCACTTGTTTCACATTCCTTTAAAATAGGTTGAACTGATTTTCATATGTGACTCTCCTTTCCAGTTTATGCTCCTGATTTTTGGTGAATGTGTAAAGCTTTGTGGAGGCCTAAAGATCAATTAAACATTCAAACAGGGTTTATGAAAAAAGAAAATAACCTAACATAATCCATAATTTATTTTACCTGTTCAGTATTTGGGGTTATACGTAGAGTGCCTGGGACACAAGTAGATATTTTCAGAGTTGGAGAATGAAGTTCCTGTTGAGAGAAACAAAAAAGGGTTCAAAAATCATTACTGAGCAGTGTCATTTAAATGTCTTAGGTTTTTAAAGTATTATTATTATTTCCTTTATTTTTACAATAACCCAGTTTGCCAGAAATAAGAACTTTATTAAGTGCTTACTTAGATGATGTCCATCTTTACAAGAGCACATTACTGAATTCCTTTGTCAGTATTGCAAGTAACCTAATGAAATATAATTTCTAGAATGCTTTCATAACAATACACACTTCTTGAACTTTTAGTTTGCATCATTTTTTTTCTTTTTTGAGAACTCTGCTGATACATCCATTGATGTTATTACATGTCTGCAATTAACAACATTTAAAATTTATCAAAAACATTAAGTATAAAAAAATCCAAAAACCAATATAGGAAATTATCTTTGAAAGCTCAACTAAGACTACTGCTGTTACAGTACTTCTGATTTTAAATTACGCTTTGTGTGATCTGCTTCTAGTTTAATCTCAAAGAGTAGGTTCTGATGTTAAAAAATGATCCATAAAAGTGAGAGTACGATTTTTAATAATGATTAGATAAAATGATCACTCCATCTATTATGCTGGTATTCATTACATTTTTCCCAAATCAACAAACTGCATAGCTTTATCAGTGTGCAAAGAAGTGATAGCATTACTCAATTTCAACTAATTGACACAACTCCAGGATATATTTCTAAAATGATTAAAAATACTTTTTCTTCAGATAAGGAGGTATTAAAAATTAGAATCATAGATTTACAAGGGGAAAACTAGCAGACTCATACCACAGTACAGTTATAATGTATATATATTACATATATATATATAATGTTTAACATTATGTTCTTAAAACAAAAAAATATATATATATATAAATATATGCTGTTCTTAAAATAAAACTATGTTATACATAACATGCTGTTCTTAAAACAAAACAAAACGATGCCTTTACTCAAAGAGCCAAACTTTCTACACACTATGGTTTTTCTTTTGGTTCAACTTGTAACATTTTCATCCCTCCTCCCTCTGTTACATCAACAGCAATACTGCAAGCTTAATGCTTCAAGGCAGATTTTGAATATGTTCCCAGATTTCCTGCTGGTAGCTGTGGATAATTGCTCACACAAATGCTGAGAATTAAAGATTGTAGACCAAACAGGTACATGTTCTTCACTTTAGGAAAATGGTTACAAATACAACCAAGTGCAGGTGGATATGGCACACAGATCAAACAGGAGTAGGTTCAGAAAGACAAAAAAAGTGATTTTTAGTTATACAATAGTACATGAAAACATTTCAACATAAAAATTATACAAATAAAGTCAAAGATCTTCCCTTAACCATCCTCCTTTCATTCAAATCTCTTACCCATATGTAATTATTATCAGGTGTATGCTTATATAAATACATATGTATAAATAATATTTACTGCTTTTATTATTCTGCAATGTAAGCCAAACAATATATGTTATAGATTAGATGTGTCTTAATTCATTATTTTAAATTAATGGATATATATATATTTATTATAGTGTTCCATAATGTTCGTTTGATAGTTTGTTTACCTATGCATCTTCTTAAAATTGTTTCCAGGTTTTCACTGTGCTTCAAAGAGTATCCTTGTGCTATGGTGAGTATTTCTTTAGAATGCCACAAAGTGGGATTGCTAGGACACAGAGTATGTGCATTATTCATTTTAATATATACTGTCCAACTGATTTCCCAAAAGGCCATGCCAATTACACATCCATAAGCAGTGTAGAAATGCTCTCATGTCTGAAAGATGCTTTTATGCCAACTTTTAGTGTTTGTAGGCTGGAGCTAGTAATACCAGAATCATTTTGAGAATATAGTTAGCGCACACTGTCTTGTTCCTGGTTCCGTATATAGGCTAGTTTTTTCCCTTTCCCTTTACCTATCCAAGTCTGATGACATCAGCAAATGAAACAGAATGACGCTTCCTAGGTAAATGGACTAGCTTTTAAGATAAAAGAGTGTACTGAGAAGTTTTATAAACTGGCTGAAATTCACCCAAGTAGGAATATACACACACACATACACAGATATATCTTATATCTTTAGGACCCTTATTGATAGTAATATAGGCAGTTACTTTATTCAGATGCCCAGATGGTAGATACTCAAAAGGCAAATTGGTATATTTGCACAAAGACTAGTCTGGTGCTACCATAAAAAAATTATTCTGTCTTATTATATTTGGAAGGCTGGTAAATTAATTTCATAAATTATGCTTTATTTAGTTGCTTTGAGCCTTCATTAGAACTGACATAGGCAAATATGGCTTTCCCATACAAATTTTATGGAAACAAAGGGAAAATGGAATAACTACAAAAAGTAAAATATTAAGGTGGTGGCTTAGTGTGGGTCAAAGAGATTAAGACATATGGTAGTGATCAGCATGAATTTAAATTACAGCAGTATTAAACTGTCATAAGGGGGAAAAGCCTATCTGAATATAAGGTTTATTAATTAAAGAAAGACTTGCTAAAGAAAACCCTTTCCCCTTGAAAGTCTATAGAATTAGGTAAGTAGTGTGAGTAAATGTCCAAAATGAACATTGTCTTGATGATGAAAGGTATTTTCAGTGGCATCTAGCTCTAGGCAGAATTGCAGCAAGTCATTCCACAAGTAGTCATTGCCTATTCTAAAGGAAGTGATCAAAAATGTTTATAAATTAATGAATGAAGATGTCAATTTTAAAGGCATCTCAGGAATAGAAATCTAAATCTCTCTTGATAGCCTACATTAATATTTAATTTTCAATGTCACTTATTTGCATATAGCTTACATAAATCCTTCATGTTGGAATCATTAAATTCAATGAATAGTTACATCTTTAGTGCTTATGCCCTCTATGCCATAACCCCGTGTTCCTTATAACAAAATAATTGAAAGCTGGGGAAGGAGTGGTGGTGACTATCACAATATATTGAAAGAATCCTGGACTTGGGGCTTCCCTGGTGGCTCAGAGGTTAAGGCGTCTACCTCCAACGCGGGAGACCCAAGGTTCAATCCCTGCGTTGGGAAGATCCCCTGGAGAAGGAAATGGCAACCCACTCCAGTATTCTTGCCTGGAGAATCCCATGGATGGAGGAGCCGGGTAGGCTACAGTCCCCGGGTAGCGAAAAGTCAGACAAGACTGAGCGACTTCACTTCATTTTCTGGACTTGAGAAACCCTGTTCCTCAAGTAGACTTCTATTATAACACTATACCACTAGTTAGCTGTGTGATAATGAATAACTCATGCTGTGTGTGGATTAGAGGATCTTTAAGCTCCTTTATATTTCTGATACTCTGTGAATATAGGAGATCATTCTGTTTATTTTTCCACACAGACAAAACAACTTCAAATCCTTTAAACTTGTCTTGTTTTCCTTTGATAATGAAAATGACATCACTTATTGAGAACTTTCTATGCCAAATATGTTACATAGATCATCTTATTTAACAGAAAAACCGCCATCAGAAAGCTACTACTATAACCCCATTTAACATGTGAAAAAAGTAGTCATGTATAGATGTAAGAGTTGGACTATAAAGAACGCTAAGTGCCGAAGAATTGATGCTTTTGGACTGGTGTTGGAGAAGACTCTTGAGAGTTCCTTGGACTGCAAGGAGATCCAACCAGTCCATCCTAAAGGAAATCAGTCCTGAATATTCATTGGAAGGACTGATGCTGAAGCTGAAACTCCAATACTTTGGCCACCTGATGCAAAGAACTGACTCATTTGAAAAGATCCTGATGCTGGGAAAGATTGAAGGTGGGAGGAGAAGGGGACAACAGAGGATGAGATGGTTGGATGGTATCACCAGCTCAATGGACTTGAGTTTGAGTAAACTCCGGGAGTTGGTGAAGGACAGGGAGGCCTGGTGTGCTGCAATTCATGGGGTCGCAAAGAGTCGGACATGACTGAGCGACCGAACTGAACTGAACTGAATAACCCTGTTGGCAACATTCTTTATGTAGAGTTTTGTTGGAAAATAATTATGTTTATAAGTAAGTAGGTTCAGGCTTAATATGAAAGCCAAGACTGTTTTCCCCACAAAGTCTAAAGTCATTTTCTACTTTGGGAAAGCTGTAGCAGTGCTCTTCCCTTTCCTCCTCCTTCCTGCCCTTTTCCTTTCCCTTCTTTTCCTCACTCCAGCCTCTTCCCCTCTTTCTTCTCCTCCTCCTCTTATAAAGTATACAGGGAGGTAGAGAGGGAGGTGGGAGGGGGGATCGGGATGGGGAATACATGTAAATCCATGGCTGATTCATGTCAATGTATGACAAAAACCACTACAATATTGTAAAGTAATTAGCCTCCAACTAATAAAAATAAATGAAAAAAGTATACATGGCATTACCAATTTTTGATCAGAGTGGATTAAAATCAATCTGCTTTTTTGGAGCTTTCCAGACAAGCAAAAGTTAAAAGAATTCAGCACAATCAAACCACCTTTACAGCAAATGCTAAAGGAACTTCTCTAGGCAGAAAATAAGGAAAAGCCCTACCTACAGAAAATAAACCCTAAACAATGGAGAAAATGGTAATAGGATCATATTTATTGATAATTACCTTAAACATAAATGATTAAATGTACCAACCAAAAACACAGACCAGCAGAATGGAAGAAAATATTTGCATGTATACATTTCCACATATCACATCACCCTGCTTGACCCCCCCAAATTGTATGTAATTATTTTATATTGTTAGGATAATTGTGCTCCCATTATGGCTTGCAATTGTAATTTATCTTTTATTTTTTGTCTAGTTATTGATTGTGAAAACTGATAAACATCTTTTACTATTGTGAATACACAACTGCTACTCACTTAATACCACTGTATCATGATTGGCCAACAGAAAAACTGTAGAATTCTATATCTCCAAAACTACGATTTAATAGAAAAATCCATAATAGAAAAAGCTTTTAAAAATTCATATGTATATCAGAATTATCTTGGAATTTTTTGAAAAATACAAATGCC